AGAGGTCACTCATAATTTAAAAAATGATGGAAGGAGCAGTGGCTTATTTGCTGAACAATTTTTGCTCACTCCAGCTTATTTATTAAAATTTACCCTTTTTTTTAAATTAATAAAATGATAATTTTCTTTATAAATTTATTAATTAATATATTAAAATTAATTTATAAATAAATATTTTTAAATATCATAATTAATTTTTTAAAAAAATTTTCTTAATTTTTTAAAAATCTAACTTACATAGGCTTTTGTCTTTCTCAATTAAAAATAAAAAACAACTTTTGCTGATAAAAAAAAAGAAAAGAAAAAGAAATAGAACTTTTAATTTTGAAAAGACATCAAATGTCAAAGGCAGAAGGTGCAATTCAGCCCTTCTACGTCCATTGTTGTGGCACATCAGCCCCTCTACCTAAAAGTAGAGCAAATCAGCCCCTCCACTTAACAAAACCCGCAAATCAGCCCTTCTGCTGACGATGACCTCATCAAATGTCATCTTTCCGTCCACATCCTTGTTACTCCATTACCAATAAATGGCTTGGTGCTGATATGGCATTGGGTGGGTGATGTGGTCAATTTAAACTGTAAAATTACTAAAGAGTCCTCATCTACTTCTTTTTCTTTTGTTCATCTTCTCTCTCCTCTACGGTCTCTCATTTCATATTGCAGATTTACTTTTTCTTTTTTTTAATAGTTTAAATTGAAATTTTTTCAGATAAATTTAAATTTTAAAAAATTATTAAAAAAATTTTCAAAATATGAAAATATAAAAGTTAAAAAAAATTTCAAAATTAAAATCAAAACTTGTGACTTTGTTGACACCAAGTAATTTGCTCATTAAGTCTTCATTTCCAATAACCCAAAATCTACTCACTTTATTTTAAATAAAAATATATGTAATATTTATTTATTTTAAAAGCTATCTCAAAAATAGATTTATATATTTTTAATAAAAATACAACCTTAAAAAAAATAAAAAATAAAAAATTATGGATTCATATGTATCCCTTTACT